TTTCACAATATTCCCAAAGTTAAGATTCCCATTTTAAGAGCGGCCCAAAGCAACTACTTCAGTTATACACTCTCAGTCCTTCCTATGAATAGAATTTTTCTCTGTATGTGAAGAGAGCAAGCATGAATAGGAAATCTACCATTGAAAGGAGCCATCTGTGCAGTCCAGTGAAGGCACTGGAGACCCCAGCGTGGTGCCTGTTGGACTCTTGGTCCTCTCCCACCAGCACAGCACAGGGCGGGGTTTTCCTGTGCTGCCCGACTTACGGATTTCTTCTGATCGTGATGAGCACATTCTTTCCAGTTCTCAGGCCTGGTAGAAGAATTCTTTAAAAGGTGCAAGAAAGGAGCTTAAAACCCCTTAGAGTGCAGATTCTCATCCTCACACCAGTTAGTATGAAGAAGGTCCGGCAGCCTTGTTGAAAGTTCTCAAGTCACAGGGTAATGAAATACCTTATCTTACGCCTCAACTAGTACATCCATAAATTCCTGAACAGCAAGGAGTCTTTCTTAGAGATGCATTTCATGCTTCCTACGTGCTTCAGTGTGTTCCTCAGCTGATGTTGCAAAGGAAGGTGGTGGTGGCCTGAGTGCACTAAGTCTCTTTGTGGTTTTGGTCCTAATGGCTTGCTTCTTGAGAGCATGGTTTATCTTCCCCAACTTTATCTGTGTCATATTTGGGCATCTGGTCTCAATAGCTCATTCTCCTGCTGCAGTCAGTGAAGTGATGGAAGTGCTGCAGAAGGTGATGCCTTCTCTAGGACATGCGACCGAGATGAAATTTTAAATTATGCTTAACATTAGATACTTACAACTCTGTAAGTGCATCAAACTGAGTGTGCCACTTACAAAACTGCACTTCTCTCTCCTATCATAGCAGCAGGGTGAGACAGTGAGGGACATCTCAAGATGGGATTCCCATCCCATATTCCCTGGTGTTTAGAGCATCCCCAGCAAAGAGTCAGCTTTTCTGCACAGACCAAACTCAGGTTGAGGCTTGCCTGGGCTCACACAGGAAGCCTGTAGCAGAAAAGGGCCTGCACTCCAGTTCTTCACCAACAATCTTTCTTATGCTTGAGATAATGTGCCTTTACTGTAAAGAAAGAAATGTCCCTAATTTGTGGTTATTTACAGCACTGTAAATCAGGCACATGCCACAAAGTACCAATAAAAATTGTTTAAAATCAGCCTTAAATAGCTAAACTCTCAACAGCAGCTCATAAAATGAGACTTGGCAGTTCTTAGGTAGTTATGGTTAAATTGACAGTCCTTTTGGGAGTTAAGATAGCCAAAAGCAGTAGTAGTTAGGAGTGAAGTGATAGATGGTGGAGCTTGTTTGGTGAAGAGCCTCTATTGCACTCCTGAATGTTCATATGTTCACTGGCCCTGGACTGGCAGAAGGGAGATAGCAGACTTTGTCACTGAACACCAGCTTGAATCATGCATCCTTTGCTGGTATGGCCCTAGAAACTGCAATGCCAAGAGAATGAGCTTTGGTGTGAAGGATTCATTGCTGCCTGCATGTAACAGGAGACTTTTCAGGCAGGAAGAATGATAGAAGGACAGTCAAGTCCAAAGCAGGCTGAAAGGAAAGTAAAGAAAATCTGCAGAAGGGACCAACACCATGAACAAAAAAAGCCCATCCATAAAGAAACCAGATCTCAGCTCCTTTTAAAAAGTCAGGTGCACAAGTTATATTAGCCTTGAGCCAGGTCTAACTTCCGCTGCCAATAACCACTTCCACTGCCAATAACCCAAGCTGACATAACAGCAACATTAAGGAGGCTCAGGGTTTTTTCTCTGTTGCATTAGGCATTCATGTCTCTTTTCCACTTCTTTTTTTTCTCCTTTTTTTTTTTTTTTTTCCTCAAGGTACTTGTATTTTAGCCAACCACCTCCCTTCTTGTTAAACAAGAGGAGTTTCAAGATGGGGCCCAAACCTAAACACTGGCTCAGCAACCCAGCACTATGAAAGCTGTGGATTTGGGTCGCAGTTCTGCTGCTAATGAGAATCAAGCACACCCGGGCACTGGCAAAGCAGCTCGTAAAACATGAGCTCGCATCCAGGCTGGATTCCTGTAGCCTCCCTTGCAGTGTGTCAATGCAGTACTTTCACGCAGTTCAGCCCTTTGTATCATGCTTCATCTCCCTTTCCTGCCCTAGCTAGCTGGGCTAGCTGAGTGTTTCACCAGAACAGCTCCCAACTATCAATGTCATCCTACACACAACAGTTCAACCACACAACGCTTACTGCCCTCTTTGAAATGCTGCACCAAAGCAGAGAAATTTGTGGACATTGTGAACAAGTGAAGGCATTGAACAAGCAACGGCCCAAAAGCTTCACAGACATATGCACATCATGCTGAGTCCAGTCCATGCTCTGATGGGGACCTTGGTGAAGCAGCTCAGGCTTGATGACAAACTTGGTTACCTTGTTTCTGAACCAGGCCAAGTTTCTGTCCAGATGCCTCAGAGTAGGCATGCAACTGTCTATATTGGCCATGGAAACATGACTTGGCCCTTAGACCTTCAGAAATACTTGGATTTGTTAGGTTAGGAGTCTGTAACCCTTTGAGGTGCTTCCTGATTCTCCAAGAGTCTCATAGTTTGTTCACAGTAAGATAGGAATGACAAGGGTCTATCATGCTTAAAGCAGTCACTGAGACCGCTGAACTGGTGCTCACTGGACTTCATAGCTGCTTCTGGAGTACTGGAGGATCTGGTATTCTCAGTCTATGCCAAATCTCTATTTTCCTGCAAATAACAGGCCCAGTTTTAAGAAAGTGTGGTCACACTGAGTGGGTGCACACTTGTGTTGGAGGTTTCACAGCAGAACATGGGGTTTCACAGCAAGAAATGTTGGTATGTGTGAGAAAGTCAGCCCTGATAGAAGACAGCTGCACCCTTCCCTTTGCCACACAGTAAGGGGGCATCTGGGGCAGTGCCCAGCCCCAGGGGCAGTGACAAGCTTTGCTGTTCTGCTTTTCTCTCAGGGCAGTATTAGGATCGTGGCTCTGCCAGGATTGCTCTGAGGCCCTCAGAGTTGTTTTGAATGCACAAATTACAAATAAGACTTGTATAGTCCTAGTGGAGTTTGATTTAAAGGAGCTTTTCTGCAGCTTTGGAAAGGTGCATGACTAGATACATTTACTCTCATCTTCAACCCCACACAGGGGATTCACCAGCAGATACACCCACCTCGTCCAGCGTTCGAAAGCCGTGCAGGGGAATATGGCCTGGGACTTCCTCAAGACTGAAAGAAACAGAAGCAATATGGAACCTGAAATTCTCTGGGAGGATTCACGAAGGAGGATCTGAGCTTGGTGGCTGCAGTCCCACTACCTGGCAGTGCCTTGGTAGGGAGGATATGGTGTGCCCCACTGGCACGCTCCCTGACAGGCTCTGAGTGATTCCTCATGTCAGTATTCACCCACTGTGGTGAAGTAGGAGAGAAGGCAGTTCCCTGGTATTTGAGAGATCCCCAGGGCAGCCACAAACTCCTTTCTCTGGTGCAGGGCCACTTTTGACTAATGCAGAATGATTCCTACACTCTCTCCTACTGTTGGGGATGACACAGGGGTACAAAGAAGGACTTTCTGAGCATTAAGAGTACAGTGAATTCAAGCTCATGATTATTTTTATAATCAAAGCTGCTTCCTGTAATAGCACCTCACATTTGGTTCTCCACTGATGGATCTTCACTTAGAGTATTGTGGGTCTCCACTGATGGACAGTTTAGGTAGATAAAAGTATAATTCATCAAAGCCAGAGAACATAATCAAAATCTATCAGAGTGAAGAGATAATTAAGAAACAGGTTTAAGTCCACATAACCTTTCCCCTAGCCAAAGCTAAGTCCATTCTTCTTTGCACAGTACAGACATTTTATGAACCTTCTTTCCCTATCTTCTCCTTCTAGCCCATAGTGCAGTGATTACTCCACGCACTTGCTCGTGGGTATCCAAGTCTAGCTGTCATCCTTTGTCAAACTCCAAGTTAAAACTTAAGCCACCATGTTATCAGATGTCCTCAAAATGCTTCACCTGACATACATATTTATACATTAGCCCACCAATAGAGATTGCAGCTCTTGTATGGTGCTGGAAAAGGAGACTGTAATCCTGATCCCAATATATATTCTAACTACTGAACAGAAAATTGGAGCTCCCCTTACTCTCAGTGGTTTTTAAGGGTTTGTGGGTCCTCAGCTGTTACAAATGATATGACAGAGTAGATGGGAGCAGAATGAGTTCTTTTTTCATGTCAGACTCAGGTACAAAGTAGATGCCAAGTAGCTCAGCAACATTAGTGTGTGGGTGTTTTTTCACATTCCCAACAGCAAAAGTCAGCCTGTACATATTCCCTCAGGAACTCACATATCAGCTGAATATCCAGATCTTTACTGACATCTGGGATGTCCACAGATATTACAGCAGTGTACTAAGATCACAGATCAGCAGGAAATAAAACCTGAAAGTGCTGATTGCCCACCAAACCTTATCTATCACCCTTCTTATGCAAGTGGAGCAATTTTAACTTAGGAGACCACTTGTACTGGGTTTCTACTATGACCACTGAGCTTCTGAATGGGTTGATTGCATCTCTTTCTCCACAGGTGTTCCACAGCCAAGTATCCACACAGGGTAATGTAGGCAAATGTAGTCTGTACTCCCAAAAAACCCTAAATGACCAAAGCCTTTCCCATCTGATGGACCCTCTCCAATGACTCAGGTCAGTGGTTAGAGGATTTATAAGCATCATGCCACGTTGTCATTAGCAGTCATTACCCCAACCTCACTGTAGTTATTTTCATCAGGGATGTACTAAACCACTTCACACAACTGCACACACAAGGTGTGTTAATTGGATAACTAACATTTCTGTTCCATCTTTGCCTGTCACATGCTTGTATCCCAGCATAGAGAAACCCTGACTATTACAGGAATCCAGAAATGTCTAAGGACAGATAAATGAATATTTAATTCAAAACAGCAAGTTGTTGTTTGCAGTTATTTATTTTACTAAAATGGTTACATATGTTGAAACAAAGAAGAGCAATAGTAATAATGTTTGTTTTTCCAATATCATAAATAATTATTGAGTTTTCATTAGCTGTTGGCTCAGCACTGATCATGACTTTTGTTATTTAAAAAAAGACACACATAATTCATTAGAATTTGTGTTTTCAGAAAACTCTAAAGCAGCAGTAGAAAAAAATAAATTAAAGGAAACGGTAACAAGAAATTAGGCCAAGTATTTCTTAAATTTAAAACCCACTTGATGTGTTTTACAGTTATTCTTGTGCTTTGATCATTTGAAAAAAGAACCATTAACGAGTTGTTTATACAATGGCTTGTCTTCTCCAGTTTTACTTCAGAGAAGTCCCCAAAAGTACCTTTTTTACAAGACAAATTTTGTTGTCATTTATACAGACAAAAACACTGAATATTTCTAACAGAAAGGTTTGTCAAAACCATGAATTTATTGTCACAAAATATTTAATACCAGAATAACTTATAATAGTATGAACAAAAGTGAAGTATTAACTCTCTGCTATTAGTTATAAACTCACATTATTATGTCAAAATCCAGTAAAGTATCAAAAATTAATGTCATGGAATCTTAGACACATAATGATGCAAGTCAGTAAAACATTACTTCAACTGTTCATACAGTCACAACATACATTTCTTGCTTGGCACTTTAAGTCAATGCAAATCAGCAATTTAGAAAACAAAGTAAAAATATATATGTACAAAATATTTTCATATCAAATCATTTTCATTGTACACTAAATAAACCCAACAATGTTATGTTACATCAAGAAGTTTCCTAAGAAGTCACACCAAGGCTGATATTTGCAATGTATCTTGACTATTTTAGTGCAACTGAAACAGCCTCTACTTGGAAGTGAGTTTCATCATTAGCACAGTCCTGCTTCCATTGAAGTGGGAGTTCTGCCATTAAACTCAGCAGGAGCAGAACTAAGGTCTTGTCTTGTTCATTGATGGCTCACCAAAAAGAGAAACAAGGAAAGGGAGAACTAGGGAAAAACCTGATAGAATACCCACAGGAAAAAAAATCCAAATCCTTGCAACAATCAGCTCTTTTCCAGTTTTCTATAACTGATTCAGTATAAATTGGTTTTGGCTTTGCCACTGTTTATTCAAGCACTGTAAACCTCATTAGACTATTGTTATATGACTTAAAAATAACTTGTACACCTCCAAATAAAATTTAAAAATAAACCTGGTTTTATGCTAGTTATTACACTCAATAGCAGTCAAGTTTAGAGACATGACATTTAATACATGGTTTAGTATCTTCTTAAAATGCTTCTGCCTTAAATGCTGAGATTTTTCAATGTTCCAGTTCCCACTGGGATTCTACCTTGGGCTTTGATAGTTTATATTATAGATTTTTCTCACTGAAATATGAAATGTCAATCAACTGTCCTCATTTATGCAGTACATACAAAATGAAAATGTTTAAACCACATTAAAGGAATAAGTTCCACCATGGAAACATTTTTGAATTCCATTGCAAATAATAAATGGCACTACAGATTTGGTTTTGTATAAGAAGAAAAAAATCAGTTTTACTTCTATCAGAATTTCAGTAAGTCACTAGTAAAGCTTTAAAATTCTAGAAATTTGACTTGAATTTATAGCTAGTCTGGCTAACACCTTCTCAACTAGAAATCTTTAATGAGCAACACAGCTGGGTGCATAAGTTCAAAAGAATCTGAACAATTAACTTATTTCCTAAATTTTTGTGTTCTAGAGTATTGCACTTTTCAAAGGAATGATTTTGGTATTTTAATATACTGCATATACAGGTAAGAAACATGCATAACAACCTCATTGTCACTTTGACAAAACATACTGTACAATTTTTATAACACTGTTGATTAAAAAAAGAGAGAATGATGTAACAATTTCATTAAGACTCATCAATTTGTACAAGTCAAACAAGCACAACTCTCCAGGGCCTTCAGCAGTAATGTGTTTAGCCCTCGGCTGCTTAAGCCCACTTGGAATAATATACAAAGTTTAAGCATTATGGCATTGTCATTTTGAGGCATAACACTGTTGTACTATGCCCACGTTATAGCTTATTTTTTCAAAGCAAGGCACTTACTGTAATAGCAATGCAAACATCTTATGCGCACTTTGATTAACATAAAATAAGTTAATGTTCTGATAAAACCAGTTCTTTTATAATTTACATGCTTTTTATAGAAGCAATTGAACATTTCATTTAATACAATGGAAACGTCTGAGTCAGAAGGGACCTTAATTTTTTTAACTGACCATCCTATAAGAGGGGACCTATTTTCCACATTTGCCTCATATCTGTGAATCCGATTTTGCTGAAAACCAATCCTGTGAGGAAAATGTCCATTTGACATTAAAAAAAAAGAAAAAGGACCCATCTCTCAAAACTGCTGAACTAATGGCACTTTAACAGTCTTTACTTCTGATATATGTGATGATTTCTGAATGATGCAGCTGGTAGTTCCCTGCAGTTTATCCTTCCCCTGGGCAAGGTTTGTTAGGGCCATAGCTGCGTTGATCTCCTTCCAGTACGTTTCATCTTTGCTGGTTCCTTTTCTGTTAGCTGCACTAGATTCAAGCAATAACAAATATTTACACATACAGCTTACACAGCTACATGGTATCGGGAAAACCATAATAACAGCAATCATTTTGGAAAACTGTGAAGTCCCTTACCTTTCACACTTATTTGGTCCATTCTCCAGATTTTCTGAAAACAGAAAAAAAAAAAGTCTATTTTATTTTAATAGTTTTAAAAAGAAACACATTCAGGGAATAGGCATATTGAGAAAGGACCTAAGATTTCTTTAAAAAATTGATACCAGATTTAAAATAAAACCTTTGCTTTGGCACATAAAAAGGACAAGCTTCATGCTAACATCTGCCTGGAGATAGCTACACTGAGCTTGGAGCAGGGCAAATGCCAACCAAAAATGCTGTGGAGAGGTTCCCAAGCCACAACTTTACAAAAATAGGCTTTTGTGAAGCAGAATCTCACTATGCCTCACCAGAATGGCACTGGCAGAACTGGTGCTGAAACCTGCCCAGCATATCCCACGCCAGACTATGCCAAGGAAAAAGTCATCTTGGCAATAGTGAGAATAAAGGTAGTCTTGAAGGTTCACCTACATTCTGCAGGGTGATAGAGCAGTTTTTAAAAACATAAATCCCAAGGACATAAGGAATTGCAAAACCTAAAAATAAAAATCAGCTTCCTTGCCCTTCAGTGAATGCCTTCTTGTATGCACTAAAAATAGGACTCTCACCCATGCACACATGATGTGTGTGAGTTTTAATGTGCCCCTTGCTCAGGCCGCGCCTCAGTCCCAGAGGCAGCCTGAGAAGGATACAAGTAACAAGCACACCTTGGTGTGTTAACCTGTGAAGGTTAATAGCCTTCAAAGATGAAATTGCATCTCAGGCATAAACTACACTTTCTCATCAAGAGTAACATTTGTTCATTCACTAAACCCTCACATCGCAGAGAAGCCAGAAATATTTACCAAGCAGAAATGCCTAGGCTTAATCCAGTGGTTTTGCTACCCTGACACAGAAATACATTATAGAGGAGCAAGAAGCTGATGCCCAACTGCAATACAGAGGAAAACAAAAGGAACAGCACCAGAATGAACACTAATGGCTACAAGACCCCAAAAGCCTCTAAACCGACCATAAATCTCATAAAGTAAAGCACATCTTTATGAGACCAGATTACCAACTACAGATCAACATTACTGCTAGATTTCCATTAGATTATTAATTGAAAGTTGATCTTGTCTTTAAACAGAACTTCCAGTGGAATAGGTGCCAAAGTACATGGAAACCCTCCACTTATGAGCAACCTTGCCCCCACGGCCAGCAGCCCATTGTCTCACACAGCCAATAACTCAGCCCAGTCCCACTGCCCAGCACATGCAGGTGATCACTGGAGACCACAGCCTCACCAAAGGAATGCAGGGAGGCCACCTGTAATTTCAGAGGTCAGCTGTTTGCCAAGTTGTTTGCCTTAGCAGGCTTCCATCCTTACGCAAAACAGCTTTATAAAAAAATGTTCACCAAAGTTTAAATTTTGTTTTAAAAGCACACATCTTAAACCAGTATCTCTTAAGCATTCCTAGATCAATGCTTGAATGGGATTCAAAAGGGGGAAGTTCAATCTATGCAGAGCACAATGAACAAAAGAAAAAAGAAACATTTGATCCAGAAAGAGGTACCGAATGACATCAAAAGTCTCCTTCTTCACTCTGTACTTGGCTACAAAGAATTTTTCAGCCCTGTTTCATTGTTTTTTTAATTAGAGACAATTTTCAAGAAGAGGTTTGGACTGAATAGGTCAGAAGGCATAGAAATGGAAATGGTATGTAACAGAGAACATCACTGCCAGAGCAAACCTGGATATAAATACACCTCTATCCAGCATCTCTCAGTTTCTTTCACTGTTGGAAAATATTTCCTATGAACAAAAAAATTGCTTGTACAAACTTCTGAGGAAAGTAGGTGCGAATGGTGACACACATTCCAATTCCAGCATTTATTTGAAGGAGTATTTGCAAATATTTTTTACTGGTGTTTAGCCAGCTCTACAAGAAAGCGGTCTGCCCATGGTATATAAAAGCAGCAGCAAAACTAAAAAATAAAATCCAGGAGAAAAGAGCTGCCCATTCTTTAACTTTGCTGAAGATGTTTCCTGAATTATAAGTCTTTTCTTATTCTATTCAGGTTTGATGGTTTTTTCAAATAAATAATTTATGTCAAAGAAACTCGAAACTGGGTTACAGTAAAACCATCACTGATAATTTGCAAAGCTCTTGCTAATAACTGCTTTAAAAGCATGTTAGTACAGTGAAGTCTGAAAATCCATCATTTTGAAGCACAGGTCCCCTTTTTCTTGCCAAAAATTCTTTTGGCTATACCAAACCTCTGACAGCATATGCCAGGTTGGCACTACCATAGGATGCAAGCAGCTCACATCTGTCTGAACCACTCTTAGTGAAGGAAATAAACATTACCATCATTTTTTGATTGGGGATAACCACACTGAGGGAGACAAAGACCATTCCTTATGTGGTCCTTGACATCTTGCCAGTCAAACCAACTTGATACAACTGAGAGCAAAAGTGGGGTTCATCTCACATGCCACTAAACTGTCATCTAAGTCAGGTATCTTTATCCAGGCTACTTGTCCAGACTCCATTCATAAGCAACAGAGATGTCCTCTAAGAAGTGGTTTCAGTCCATTTATCTAACACTGCAGTCCAACATCCCCGAGTGCTGCTGCAAAGTCAGATCACTAAGCAAGACCTCTTCTGTGACCACTCCTCACACATTTTCCCTTTGGACAGCATTATCATTCATGTGGATATGCTATGAACTGGATGAGGGAGGACCATATCTCTCCTTTGGATATTTAGTACATCCATAATCCATATCTGTATTTGTATATAGGTTTTTAGTACACTGGTAGTATAACTACACCCTTAATGGCTTAGGTCAGCCTGGAAGAAAGGCAGTCCGGTCATGTCTGGCTCTTCACCCACCAGAGAAAGTACATAGATGACAAAATTTTATTGAATTTATAAAAATGACCAAAAAAGTGAATCTTACCTAACATTCCCAACATTTTGCTTTTTCTTCATATTTTCCAATCTATCTAGTCTACCCTCAACTACTAATTAAAGCTTTTGATAATTAAAGCTTTTGATATTTGACATATCTGCACAAGAATTGCAAAGTATATTTCAACTGTAAAAGCAACATTTTGGTGAGGTTGTTTCACGAAAATAATCAAAGAACAGCATTCTCAGAATGGAAAGTGTTCAGTTTCTTGACCATCACACAACATGTTCCTAGATTTCTTCTCTGAGGCAACAAGGAAATGGCGATGGTGGCTGGGTAACTTCTCTGGAAATGGTGACAGAATGAATGGAAAAATGATGCAACATACTCAATCTCACTGAGCAGCCTCTCACTGAGCAGCCTCTGCTAAGGACTCACCCCAGAGCAAGTGCTGGTGGGCACTTAATTCATGAGCCTTCTCTCAGTACATCAGAAGCAGCACTTTATAGGAGGTACCAAGGATGCACCACAGCTGTCCTCTCCAAGCACTCATACGCCTTTGGTGGCAGCCACCTCTGCTCTCTTCTGAAGGAGTGTGGCCACCTCTCTTGGATCAAGGCAGGCTGTCACACAAACTTAAAACCCTACACACTTGTCAAGCTCAGATCAATGTGTCAAATGGCTCCAGGGAAGGCCAGTGCTGATGAATTATTGTATTCCACACTGTTCTCAAGATTTACTTAAAAGGATAAATAATGGCATTTACCCTACTACATACATACATACATACATACATACATACAACTAAACAGCATAAAACTGGTCAGCACAAATAATTTTCCTGAAAAAACAACAGTTGTGTTCAATAGCATATTTGTTAAATGAAACCCAAAAAAAGTTGCCGCCGAAGGTGTTTTGTTTTGTCTCAGAAAGGATTATACTTCTTGTCAAAGGACATTTGTAGGCTTTCAGCATATATTGAGATCCTCCAGTAAATCTACATAATATTAAACATCAGAAATATTTTTTTGTTACAAGTTCAGAAACCACTTAAAACAGTGGTCACTTTCTCTACAACCAGAAAGTTTTAAACACTGTGAAAATGGAAACTCAATCATTTATAATTAGGGATTGTCATTTATACCTCACTTTCTGATGCTTCATTCTGCTCCCAGCTGCAGGCATCCAAAGAATCAGCTTTCACCCAGCCAGGAATGTCTCATTCTGCTCTCAGCATCCACCCAAAGAAACCAGCTAGGTGGGATATTTGTTCCCTCTTGTTTATAATAGGAAGTCACTATAAATCATTTACCAATGGAATCCTGTATACCTCTCCATTAGTAGGAGTTTTCAGTATACAGTTTACTGTAGGATGTAGTGCCAAGAGTGCAGACATCAGACAATACCAGCTTTGTGGTACAGCATGGTATTTTTCAGGACTCACATAATTATTAATAATATTAATGGCTTTTTTTTTCATCATGAAATTTCATCATAAATATTCACTGGCTGATCCTGACAACTCTCTTGCAAGGCAGCCTGCATCCCATTTTAGTAGAGATGGAAATGGGCCTCAGAAGTCTAAGGACAACATGCCTAGGCAATATTTTGACCATTTCAAAATCATTTAAGAACACAATTTTCCTGGATTTCTCTTATATTTAAAATATAATTTTCTTTCATTCCTCTGCTATCAAAAAGGCTTACCCAGAAGAAAGTAAACTCCAGGGTTCTTGCAGGCAAACCATCCTTAAACTACACACTAGTGCAAACCATCCTTAAACTGCACAGTGGCATCACTTACTTCCAAATTACTACGTACAAAGGTACTTTGGCTACATGGTGTTTGTGGCACGTTCAAACACTTCAGAACAATTCAGATTCTTACAGTTCACCACATCCAAACTAATAACTTTTATATACTTGGACAGCTTCAGAGGTGGGCTAAATAATGTTAATTACAGTTACATTTTATCCTTTGGATATAAGAATACCAGCCTAAGAATATCATGTATGTGGTGATGAACTGACTTTACGTAAAGGCCCTGCCGGGAACACCAAAGGCAAGACTGACCACTTGAGTAGGACCAAGAAGCCTCCACATTGCTCCCCCTCTCGCTGTTATATCCAGCTCAAGCTGAACTGCAACAACTG